TGCGCCCCAGGGTGGCTGTGGCTACAATGTAGCTGCCATCACCAGTGTGTGAATGTGTGCGTGAATGGGTGGATGACTGAACGTGTAAAGCGCTTTGGGGTCCTTAGGGACTGAGTAAAGCGCTATACAAATACAGGCCATATAAATTAATTTGTATAAACTACAGCAAAAACGAAAACAGATATTTGCATATTTGCATAATAATTGCAAAATTGCAATTAAACTTTGCAAAATACAGCATGTGCATCAAAATAAACTATTTCCAACAGTACAATTTAAGTTTTAAAGTCCCCCAGGAACTATACAAAAAGGCATAAAGTCAGACATGACTTTCAGTACCACCAGTGAACTTTTTGAAAGGGCTTGTAGGGAAAAGAACTACATTTCCCGTGAAAATGACATCACTTACAGTTTTTGGAGGTAATGGCGGACTTGTGATAGTTTCTGCTAAAAACGTGATGATGTTTATTCCAAAGTGCTGTGAACAGCTGATTAGATCAGAAAAGTGCTTTGTTGGATTATAATGGGGTTTTTTCTTGCATGTGCTTTTTAAACTATTTTTGCAAAGCCAATAATGGAAGGAAACGGCAACCTCGGTTGAATGCATGATATGTAACTACAACTCCTCCTTTTTATATGCAAAAATTTTTTGCTCTAGCTTATTTGGTTGCAATTCTACCGGGATTTAATGAGAACACTCCCACTTAGAAGGGTTAAATAGCTCTGTATTTTCTGTGAGATATGTATACCAACCCAGAATGATCACAGATCCATCCTGGCCAGCCCACTGAAAATTTCCTGGCTCCGCCACTGCTCATGGAGCCTTGGAATTGTCATAATGTTTCTTCACTTTTACACCGCTCTTTGCTGCATGAATGACATAAAAAATAAAGCTAGTGCAAGTCACTTAAATGATTAAAAAATCTTTTTAAAAATAATAAGAGGGAAAAAAAAATCTACAAACCATCAGGTTTACATTAAAGAACAAAAGAGTTAATTAAAAAATAGAACACTATATAGATGAGGAAGTCTCTTGATTGAGTCTCACAGAGATTTCAGTGCTGTTCTCAGGAGCTGTAAGGTCCACAGAAAAAAGTACAATATTATTAAAATCATTGTTTCATATCCAGATTTTTCGGTTTTAAGTTCTTTACAATTAAACAAAAAAAAGTCTAACATGTACTATGCTGCAAAAAATAATATAACCGAGCCGTGCACTGCAGCTGCTCACTGCACTGATGAACTTAGCTCCTTTGAAACTCTCACCTTTCTTCTTTTTGTAAACAGCAAATCCAACGGCGGCAATGATGATGAAAATAAGAAGAGCAACGACTATAGCAATGACTGGAGCTGTTGTGTCAGAGGGATTATCTGCTCAGTAGAAAACACAGAATATAAAATGTGCAAATTAAGCAGGTTAGAATAGAAGATGTCCATTCTGTAGTGGACTTCTATTAACAACATAATGGTGAGGGGAGTAGATTACACTATGTGAGTCTCAACGGATGTAACTATACATGTAATGTATACATATTATTAACTTGTATTATTATTTAATTTATAAATTTCTCATTTTTGTTCTCCGTTATGACCTCCATTAGTTTTTATTATGGTAATAACTAATTGAGATCAGAGTCCAAACAAAAAACAGGACAAAACATTCAAATATCAACCAACAGTATCAGCAGACAAAATAAATGTGTTTCTCTCAATTTAATCATTACCAGTTCTCTCACTCCTGTTGGATCTGATTCGTGTTCTATCCATTTTTGTGATGATGTTCATAACACCAGAGAGCTCAAACACACAGTCGTATCTGTTCCAGTCTTCAGGTGTGACTGATGAAACATTCAGATCAACAATTGTCTGGAAGGTCCCATCATTGTTGGGGATGATTTCTCCAAGATCCACACCATCATGAATCTCCTCTCCATCTTTCCTCCAGAACATCACGGCACTATCAGGATAGAAACCTGTAGCGTGGCAGCTGACTGGAGAGGAGGGAGTCTTCTGGAGGAGAGACACTGAGGGAGGAACTGGAGAGGGGGAAGGTGGGAAAGAAATGAAGTGAGAATGGATGAACGTAAACATGACAGAAAAAAATTGGAGAAGAACAAAGATGAAAAACTTTAATATGAAGATATTAAGAAAAATATATTGGATAAGAAAAACGCCACACTAGTAGTGGAAAATGTGTGTGACTGGAACACAAGAAAAAAAAAACTGGGAAAAAAATTGAATATGCAATTCAAAACTTCAAATTACTTAAATCATTAGAGCCAAGGAGTCACCAGCTTTTCAGCAGCTGCATAAAGCTGTATTATGGTATACCTATACCATGGGTTCCGTTCATACAAATCTCTTTCAACCATGAACATTTATGTAAATCGACCAGTTTCGACATCTACCCCATTTTAAACTCATCAACAGTTTAAAATGGGGAAATTACCAAAATTGGCAGAATACACCAGTGGCATTCCATCAGTGCAAGCAAGGTAACCAAGGGCTAGTAAAATCCAAAAATAGATAACGGTTAAAGCCAAAGTCAAATTGATCTCTCTCCATTCATCTCACACAACTCCAGTCCTAAAGCTTCTCTCATTCCTGTTTGCATTACTGCCATCTTGTGATCATAGTTAGGTATTTTCTGGAATCAGGATTAACTCTGTTCCACAGTATGTCTGTGAAGGTTCTCAGTCACCCAGGTCATCATAGTCTAAGGAACTTTGAAAGAAAAGAGTCTGGACTTCTATAAGTTATAAGTTCAATAAGGAAGATCTATAGCCTCACATCTGTCCGCTCTCAGGTGCTCCCGGCTAAATCTAAGCTTTATCACTTTATCACTCTCACTTTCCCACAATGTCAAGGTTAGGGATGGGTACCGGTATCCGGTTCTGACATAAACGGTAGTAACCAGACCGAAAAGCAGCGCACATTTCGGTGCTTTATTTCGGTGCTTTTTTTTCCTGAGCTGTGATACACTTTAGATTCTAGCCAATCATTTTACGTTTCCGAGGATAGTAGGCGGGCCCAGGTACGTACGTTCTTTTAGAGCAGATCTACAGATTAAAAATGCCCAAGGCGAAGCGGTCAAAAGTCTGGCTGTACTTCACAGCAAAAGATGCAAACTCAGCAGCCTGCAACAAGTGCTTTAAGCTGATACTGTGATACTGTCAAAGGAGGTAACAGCTCAAATCCGATGAAACACCTGGCGACGCATAGCGGTTTTTTTTAAAAGCCGAAAAATGCGCCGTATTTGATAGCTTGCTGCGAGACCTCACACCAAGCGCATCTACTGCGGGTGGGTTGCCTGTTATCGGACCCGGAGTTAGCAACATCCCCCGAAAAAACACGAAGAGGAGAGTCCTGGCCCCTAGCCCTGCCAGTGTAGCAGAAATGATGACGGATGATGATGCAGCAGCCGTTCTTCTCTGCGTGAGTAGCTTAATGTTGTCCGTGTGTTATTAAATTAATGCATGTAAGGTGAACTAGCAAACATCATCATAGCTACATGCGGCTGTCTTCTTGTTTGATGGCAGATACTCCCTTCACCCTGACCAAAAAGGCTAAAATGACCAAAGAAAAAGTGGAAAACAGCTAAACATGAGAGGTTTTTGGATAAAGTTTGTGTTCTTCATTCTTTAAGCACCGGTTTGAGCACCGTTTAAGCACCGGCACCGTTTCAAAAGTACCGGTTTGGCACCGGTATTGGATAAAACCTAAACGATACCCATCCCTAGTCAAGGTGTTTGCGTTATCACTGGTCTAGTCCAATCACCTTCTCCCAGCCCTCTCCAGGCCAATCAGCGTTCATGCCGCATACTTTAAATCTCACAGCACATCTTTCTCCCTCCTCCCCATCTCCACCATTCATGACTCAGGCTCCATTCAAGCCACCTTCATCTCCACCACCAGCATGTAGGCTCCGGGTGGTCCTGCTCTAATCCCTTTCACAACTGGGGTTCTGCTCTGCCGGGACAGGCCATTGGAGTCTAACCGCCAAACACCTTAATCTATATTCTGTCAATCAATAAATCATGTTCATTCTTTCTAATGATCGCTCCTTATTGAACTTGGACTTGTGTGGAGCCTGTGCTTTAAGGGTTTGTCTGTGTATTGTTAGGGTTGAGTTTGTCAAGCGAAAAATGTTTTTTCTGGTTGTTTGCACACTGTCGATTGGCCAGGTCAATTTTCATATTCGCAACATGGAAAATTCTGACTTTAAGCTCAACACAGCTGCTACCTGTTTTGTTCAAGGAGCTGCTCCCATAGTCCAAAAAAATCGTCAGTTTCGGTTGAAACATACTGAAGAGGTTTTCAACGTATTTAATTAGATTTCTGTGATCATCCAGCATCTGTTCGCTAATTTGAAGCTCTGGTTTCAGTGTGATCATTGTCTTTGTCTTCGGATCAAATTCAAAAATGCCTTCTCCGTTAAAACCAAACTGTAAAAAGCATGAAACCTCTCCAGAGTTTTCATTCACATTGCAGCCAATTATGCTCTGTAAAATGTGAACACCTGGAAAGAGAAACAAAGATTACAATTATCTGTGTCATTTGTACATTGTGTGACACATTTCTTCTATCAAAATTCTACATTGTGTTCATTGACCGTAAATAAAATCTTGGATGATTTAAGTCTGATGTGACCATTTTTTAAGATTAAGATTTAGAACAATTAAATAATTAGAACAAGTAAATCTATGTTTTACATTAGGATTCCTGGTTTCAATTAAGAAGATTAATTAAGGAAGTTAATTATTTTAATGAATTTTACATTAATCAGTTTTGCATAGATACATACATGATAATATGACATAATATATCAAAGAAAGTACTGCACCTTCACTTTGGTTTAACAGCTGCTTCCAATTAGAAATCAAGCTTTTGAAAAAATTTGGCTGATGCTCAAAACACTCATGAGTGTACCCCAATAACATGTCAGGGTTGTCAGCAAACATTTTTTTCACCCAGTCCTGTCTTGGTTCTACTATCTTCTTGCTGGCATCGCAATAAAGCACCTCCGTGTCATCAACCACTGCAACATACATAAGCTCTGAGATGTTTGGGTCTCCAGAGGATCCAGTGACAAGATACTTCAGAGAATGGCTCACTGTAGGACAAACAAATGTTTATGATGTTAGTAAATTACAGAAATAAAACAATTATGATTCATTCATTATGATCAATGTTCCCTCTAAGCTGCGTGAGTGCGCAATTGCGCACTGCTGGCACGGTCTCTGTGCACAGAAAATCTGCGTTGCGCACAGAAAAAAAATCTAACCTGAATTGAAATTAAAATAAAAATTTTAACAATTCTGTTTTGCAGTGTTAGTCAGTAAGTGACTGGCTGCTCCTGTATGGGATTAGACCGATGCCACCATCCCATAGTCCAGCCAGTAATACGATTCACATTCGTATATACAGTGGGGCAAAAAAGTATTTAGTCAGCCACCGATTGTGCAAGTTCCCCCACTTAAAATGATGACAGAGGTCAGTAATTTG